GATTTGTGGAACCTCTTCTATAGAAGAGGTTAGAACTGGCAGGAACCCACCCCTGGCGCACACGTGGCATGCCTGAGCTGAACCCCGGAAGAGGAGCTGCCCAGGGGGCATGCGCACCCGGAAAATGAACTTCTGGTTTTGGCACATGCATGCACACCAGCCAGCTAGTCTTCTGGTTATTGGCGTGCATGCACATGCAACAATCAGCTGGCCAGCACGCATGCTCAAACTGGAAAATGGAAGACCAGCTCTTCTAGCTTCTGGCACTGCCACATACATGAAAGCCAGTTGTTCATCCCTCACGCATGCACGCCAGAAACCCAGAAGAGGAACAGGGGATACCACGCCTGCCAGGAGACATGGGTTCCATAGATTCACCGTCACGGGCCTAAAACATCTGCTGGGTACCAAATTAGGGGGGGGGAACCATTCTACTTCCCTGTTTCTATATTTGCCTACCCCCAATTTGCCATTTGCTATTCATGTAGCTGAGCTTCTTTTAGGCTAACAGTCATTACAATATCTACTCAAACACTCCCATCCCCAAATCTAAATTTACTGGTGCTTGGATCTAAAATGTTTTTCAGATGTGGGCAATGCAAACAATGAAGCTCATTCCTGGCTCCTATCTACTGAAGCTGAGTTGAATTCCCAACCATCTGCCCCTTCCAACCAGAGGTGGTGTTCAGCCAGTTCTGACCACCAGAAGTGGAAATTTTGAGTAGTTCGGAGAATCTACAAATACCACCTAGCCCCGCCCACATCTATTCTCTGCCTCCCAAGTCCCAGCTGATCAGCTGGGTCTTCTTCTGTTGCCCTGTATAGGAGAATGAAGCTGGAAAGCAGGTTAGGGGGGAGGGTGGAGAGGGAATGGGGATTTTGCAGTATCCTTTCCCTGCCATGCCCACAGAACCGGTAGTAAAACAAAATTTGAATCCCACCACTGCCTCCAACCCTCTCCCCATCTCCTTCCCTAGTCCCCAAACTCACATTGGATGTACCAAGCCCTCCAAATGGCATTGTTGAGGCGGATCTTGTCCCGACAAAGTAACTGTAATCCTTTGAAATTCTTCCACTTGGGGGATACCAGCTTCCCACTGAAATGTCAAGGAAGAAGACATGGATTTAAAGAGGGAGGGGGGATATAAATGGGGAACAGATAGACCCCAGTTCCTTTTCTTAACCAAGTTTGTAAGTCTTTGAAGTGATCCAATATCATTTTAACAAGCCAGGGCTGATGGAACTCGAGTTATATTTATCAGTAATCATTTGCTAGAACAACTAAATTGAGCAGTCATGAAAAGAGGCAGAATTCCTTCTTTAAGTGTGGTTGTCTTCATGTCCTGTTGATGGGCTGCCTAGAGATATTTAGTTGATTGGTGATGAAGGCAACTGGACCTGATGAATTCTTGTTTGATTGGACAAAACATTTTTAAATCAGTTTTCATTAGTTTACATAACAAAGATAGGATTAGCCTTCTACAGAAACTCATCACATGGTATCTGGGAAGAAGCAATGCTCAATCAAACTTGGACTCAAAACACAGCCTAGAGAGTTGCCCCTGCATGGCCCCATGGGAGGGAAAAGATACAAATGGAATAAATCTATTGGTGGCCCATTGAGGAAGGTGGGGCTATTAAGAGTCTGTTTCCTGCCTAAAAACATGTTTCTACATTTCTTATCCAGGGAAATATAATATTCTGCCTTTTCAATATTTCCTAGGACATTTCATTTTTTCTAGCTGAGGGGTAGGTGCTAACTTCCGACAGTATGAAACTAGAAATGAGTGAACGCATGGGGTTGTATCCGCGCGCACTGGTTGCCATCAAAGTCTTCTGTTTTGCCATTGTACACAATGCCTCTGTGGCAAAATACCTTATCTTTATTATTTACTTTAGGGCGCCTTGTTTCAGTCACAATTACTAAGGAATAGGCAACCTCTGAAGGTGAACAGAACATTCAGAAAACGTGTTGTGGCAATATTGAGACAAGTCCATCCTGTTTTGGTTTTCTGAAATGTTGGTAAGTTTACAGCAAGTGTGTGAATCTAAACTTAGGTCCTTTCACAGGCCATGTCCGCCCCTCTATTTAAAGGCTTGTTTTTTTTCTAAATGGCTGTGTTCGCACTGTATACTGAAGTAGATTAAAGTCCAGTTGGATAGTTTCTGGTTGGGAAGCACCTGGCTGATACTGGCCAGGTTTGTCTGAGAGCACAGAGAAGATTGTGAAAGGTAGGCTGGAAAATTGGAAAACATTCCTGGAAGAAGACAGTTGAAAACTGCCTGGTTATATCCATGTGGTCCCTAGAAGTGAAGCTTCATTGGGGGCAGCTTTGCCTTTTAATTCCTGATTCACTACAAGGGATCTGTAGTACAGAAGTCAGCATCTTCTGTGAACTAGGCCCCCATGTAGCAATAGCACTTAGATTTATATACCACTTTATAGTGCTTTTACAGCCCTCTCCAAGCGGTTTACAGAGAGTCAGCAAATTTTCCCCAACAATCTGGGTCCTCATTTTACCCACCTCGGAAGGATGGAAGGCTGAGTCAAACCTTGAGCATGGTGAGATTTGAACTGCCAAACTGCAGGCAGCCGGCAGTCAGCAGAAGTAGCCCGAAGTACTGCACTCTAACCACTGCACCACCGTGGCTCATATTAAACTGTAATGTGTTTTATTAATTTGGATACAGCATGT